GTAGCAACACTTTTTTGTTTTGTTTTTCTTGAAGATGATTCATCTCAGCTTGTTTGTAGCAACACTTTTTTGTTTCTTGAAGATGATTCATCTCAGCTTGTTTGTAGCAAGTAGCCGCAGCTGGGTGCGTAGAGGTGGAGACTAGAATATGCGGCGCTCTTCTCTGCTGCAGGTCGTTCCTCTCGCCGGACCGGTTTTGGATATCATCTCGTGCTCTGCTTCTCTTCGTGTGTATGCGGTGCGCTGAAGAAGATACAGTCTGATATCATCTAGTGCTCTGCTTCTCTTCGTGTGTATGCGGTGCGCTGATGAAGAGAGTAATTCCCTTTCGTCTTGACGATGTGAAGGCAAGGCGGCGCGCCTCGATTTCATTAAAAAAGTTGATGCAGATGGCTCCGTGCATCCAAGGTCCTCAAAGAGGAGGGTCTCCTGCTCTCTCTGTTTGAGAGTACATGCATGCTTGTACTCTGTGCACGAGCTCTGAAGAAAGAAGGAAGAGGGGGATCTTTTCGCACACGTAGAGTAAGTCGCCTTATGTGTTCTGGGTGCTACCGTCTTCCCGCGAACATAACGGACCGCGAATATGAATGCATAGAGGCAGTCTTTTTGGTCAGGTGCAGTCATGATGACGGTGCGTTGTGTTTGGAGGAAGACGGTGACGTGAGCTGTCGTCGTAACGCTCTTTTCTTCTTTTGCTGGCGTGCTGGATGCCTCGAGGGCAGGCAATCCGTTTTAGTGTTGTCCTCCTCTCCTTCTACATTCGGTTGTGATGATTCCTTCAGTGCTGAGAGATGATGCACTGGGTACTGCCCGGGTGTCAATTGTCTTGCTCGCCGTTTTCTCTATTTCGCTCGTTTGCGTTTGCCCAAAAAAATCGTGTTCGTTCTCAGGACGGGACCCACTGAAGATTGCAGTGGTCGTCATCCATCCCCGTTTATCATCCTCATTTTCGTTGATGTCTGCCCGTTTTCCGCCTCGCTTTGTCGAAATTGGCAGGCAGTTCTTCCCCCTTGCATCCATTCGCTTATATGAGCCATTTACTATATATGATGAACATGCGGGGCTTTCCTTCTTTTCCTTTCCTTTTTTGTTTTTTTTCGCCTTCGCGCTCTGATTCACAGTGTGACGATATATATATTATATATGACGCACGGGGGTGGGGGCAGCCGCCGCTCAACCTACATCCACGTGGGCGGCCTTGTACGCAAGAGGTTCTGAACAGGGGTAGTTGTAAAGAAGAAGATAAAAAAATGAATTCATTTCTTCTTGTTTTTTTTCGCTTTTGCGCTCTGATATTCATGTGACGATATATATATATATATATCTGTTTGTGACGATATATATATACATATATATTCATGCTGAGGAAGATAAAAAGCTGAATTCATTTTTTCTGTTTTTTTTATTTATTTTTTCTTTTTTTCTTTCTTTTTTTTCGCATTTGCGCTCTGATATTTTTTGTGGCAATATATATGCTGATAGGTTTTTGTATTGGAAATGCTTTTTTCATTGCTCCTTCCTATATGGTGGGGGTGCTGTTGCCCACGAATGCGCATGTTAAGGAGACAACAGTGCCGTCGATAGGATGTTATCTCACCTCTGCG